TTTCCAAGTTCAATGAGTCCTCTCTTGAGCTGAGAGAGAGAGAGAGAGAGAGTCCCCAGTGCCCTAACTGGTAATGAAGGCTGGAGACTTAAGCAAGTCTCAACTTGCAGCTGTCAGGACAACATTGGTCAGTATTGGAAACTCAGGTTCATCAGAGATTGAAACCCACTGAAGAAAGGAACCTGGAAGGAGGTGGAGGGCTCTAAAAGCCTTTAGATGAGATTTGGGATTGGTATCAGAAAGGGAAATGCCAGCTGGTGAGATGGAAGCTCTTGCAGGACTGAGGTGGTTGTAGGGTCACGTCCCACCTCAGACATATGATGAGATCCGGGTTCTGGGAAATGGATGGTAGCCCTGTGTGTAATGCAGACCCACAAGGTATCAAAGTGCCACCACAGTAGTTGCTCTAGTGGTAGGTATGTTGTCTGAGCATGGCTTCTTTCATGGTACCAATGCCTCAGTACCGGACTCAGCTGGAACCTCTATGGTACCCTTAGAGGAACAAGGGTCTGCCAAGACTGGGTTTTATGGGGAGATCTACCCTGCTTCTTCACTTCCCTGCTTGGAGAGGTATGTTTCCTCTTCTTTAGAGTTTTTAATTCTCTGGGACCATAGATGAGGCAGCAATGTGAGGTGAGGTGGCCTATGATGTAGAGGCTGATGTAACTGGGAGTGGGGGAGAGATGGAAAGGGGTGGTGAAGCGAACTCTGCTGGAGCTAGAGCACGTTCCATTAATAGCTGCTTAAGTCTAGTCTCCCTGTCTTTTTTTTTGGATCTGCCTTTGAAAACCAGACAAAGCTTGCATTTAGAAAGGTTGTGGGACTGCCCCAAACACCACAGATAACTGGAGTGTCCATCACAGGAGGACCTGTGGCATATCTAGGCTTAAACTCCAGGATTTTGGACATAAGTTGTGCTCCAGCACAAATGAAAGATCTAAGAAAAGAAGAGGGAAGGAAGCCACTCCCTCCCCCTACAAGCACTAGAGTGCAAAATAAAGTAAATGGACTAAAAATAAAGAAAAAATACAATAAAGTAAATATGAAATTAGGGTAAAAAGGATTCACAAGGTGAAAGCTGGGAAGCTAAATGCAGCTGACAGCAGAACGCTCTGTCTCAAGCCACATACCCTTGTTCAAAGTACAAGGTGGTACTCTGCACAGGTGCGGGCCCGTGGATACTACTTTTCAGTCTCTGATCGAGAGCACATAGATGCTTGAACATCCTACAGTGGAGCACCCACAGGGGGGACATACTCAAAGAACTAAAACTTATTCCTCTATGTAGCTCTTGCTGGCCAGTAAGAAGTTGCTGCCAGATAACTTGCAGCCACAGTATCAAGTACCTTCCTCCTCCTGCAATCCTAGCAGTAGCTGCAGGAGCAGCTAGTTGTACAGTATAGGGTTGAAACTCCAAAATGCCAAATGCACATGTCCCTAAGCTTAAACTGAGTTATTTGAATTTGGTATAGTATTTCCAGCTGAGATCTTTCTAATGAGAAGACAATGACATTCTCTCATTTTAATAGCTAGAAAAAAGCCAATTGGTCACAATAATTTACCATACGCTACTAGATCAAAATTTCCTTTTGATAATTTAAAAATTGTTAATATTAGCTAATGCAGTTTTCACAGTAAGTGCAATGTTGCACACATAGCAACAATTCAGCAAGTAAATCCAAAATTGCACATTTTTTGTTGGTGACCCATCAAAAGTACTATTGATCTAGTTTTTGACTCTGACATCAGTTTCCTAAAGCCATTATTCAACCAGCATATATCTGTGCCATCCCCTTTTCCTACAGAAAGCCTCTTTTTGCCAATTTTCTAATAAGGAACATGACATAATATTTCGATTAATGTGACGCCACTGAACATTTACATTAAATGCTATTTAGACAGGGAATAATCATGTCCAATTACCTACAGAACCCTCTTTAAACCAACAGCTTGAGTGCTTCATCATGCAGGCACTTGTGCACTGGGTAAATCAGGAAAAGTGGAAGACTTCAACTGTTTCCATTTAACATCGAAAATCATTTTTCTGGCTCCTGAATTTTGTGCTGCACTACAGGATATTTGAACAATACTCAAACAAGTCAAAGGTGAACACAAAAGAAATGGAAAAATCTATTCTGAACAATGTATTTCAAATCATATTTTATACATTTATTTCATTCAGACTTTATTTAAATGTTCAAATGCACAAGTTAAAGTTGCACCCAGACAATAATGAATATTGGGGGTGGGGGTTAATAGGAAGAGGAGCATGCACATAAAATAGACACAAATGATGACAGCAGCCCCTTCCCTCTACAGAATACTTCTCTATTTATCTGTTAATTAGCATACTGTATATTTAATGTATTCTTCACATTACGACCTGTCATAAAACCCTTTCCATGAACAGTCTTGTTGAAATCAAAGGATTACTCATGTGAGTAAGGGTTGCAGGACTGGACTCTTTCTCAAGAATATTTTGCATTTAAATATCAAGTTTTTCAGACAAATTCTAACCCAGAGCAGCAGAACACTGAATACAAATGTTGTAGCATTCTGTGAGTAATTAAATGTTCTTCATGTTAGTGTAAGCTTTCAGTGCAGTTAGTTTTTGCATTAAATACCATCCAATCTGTGTTGAAATTTCCCTTTAGGAATGCTCTATACAATAAGTATACCCAGAAATTGGGTGGAATATAAATTGAACATGGAATAAAACGAAATGCTCTATTAACAGTCTTCTTCCGGAATCCTAACATGGAATGCAGTAAATTATGCCATGCCAAGAGAGGTGCTTACTTACATGAGGCTGCACATCCAACAAACAAACTTTGTTTTTAGTTAGAACAGATCGAACAGAGTCTATGCTTGTACCGTAGTAGTTGTTTTTATATTCACCATATTCAATAAACCTGTGGTAGAAAGTGAAAAACAAATCAGAATCATTCCCTTTTCTTTTGCAAATACTTATCAATTTTGTTAATAAGATTTAATTCATGAGCAGAAATATTTTCACTCTACATGTGATTTTTACCATGTTTTATAAAAGGAAATGCTGCCAAGTACTTCAGCATGTCAACCTAAAAAAACCACCCTTCTATTTTACCATTTTCAAATCAGTAACACTTGCTTATATTACAGTTAAAGAGAAAAAGTACTTTAGTCCAACAGCACACTAATGTTTTCCATCACCTCTTTTTCAGAACTAATGCAATGCAATAAAAAAGTGGATAAACTAAACAATAGAAACTACTGAAATTTCATTTCACG